CCATATTCTAAGTGCAAGCAAAGTGGAGTTGCAGTTACACAGATAGAACATGAATTTATGAATTATATGTTGTTGAGTTGATTGATACACAATAATAGACATGTCAATCGCTGTTGGTTGGACAAGCTGTCACAGTGCGAAGACGTACAATGTACAATCAGCATGACTGAAGCAGCATTTATGAACTACATTTTGCTGGAATTGGTTTAAAATTGTGAATAATGGGGAAAGTGATTGCCTACCAGTCGCATGATGCAAACACAATGAACACCTTGCAGATAGAATATTGCTTTAGTCAACTCATTGCGTTCCCATCTCGTATTACAGAATATGCTCAAATCTTATCAACCAGTTAGTTTGTCATGTTGACAATATGTGTTGGATTGGTTTTAAGTGACTGTGTATATAGAAACTATATATTTTTTGAAAGCCAGCATTGCTGGCTTGAATAGTTTTTTTTTGCTATGTTTAAATTAACAACCCAAATACAAATATATATATATATATATTTTTTAAGCCAGCATTGCTGGCGTTCATGTGTTTGTTTGCTATGTTTAAACTAACAACCCAAATATTCTATGAGCAAAAAGTAAAAAGACCGGATAACCCCACCTGTTCAGCTTGTAAGAACCACTGCGTACTGCATCTATCAAAGCTTGAGGACTAGCAGACTTCTTAGTAAGACAGTCAGCAAGACACCACTGAGTGCGTATATGTGACAAGTCAGCAATTGCACCAGAGCATGCTTCCTTCCTAAGCATTTGGATCATATGAATAGTCTCCTGTTGCTCAGGAACATGAGTAGTACTAGCTGTAGTCACAAGATTGTTAGCATCAGTGCGCATGTGAATGTCAGTAGAGTCACCTGTAATGTCCTTGAACTATCAACGAGAAGTAGAGACTGATAAGAAAAGAGGGCGGAAAGATACTGGACGATAAAAGTGAATGAGACGAGTGGTGTGTGATGAGTGGTGTAAGATGAGTGGTGTAAGTAGAGTAGTGTGTGCTGAGTGGTGTGTGCTGAGTGGAGTAAGATGAGTGGTGTGTGATGAGTGGTGTAAGATGACTGGTGTGTGATGAGTGGTGTGTGATGAGTGGTGTGTGATGAGTGGGGTGAGATGAGTGGTGTGTGAAGAGTGGGGTGTGATGAGTGGTGTGTGATGAGTGGTGTAAGATGAGTGGTGTGTGATGAGTGGTGTGTGACGAGTGGTGTGTGATGAGTGGTGTGTGATGAGTGGTGTA